ACAAGGCGACTAAGTTAATTTTCCAACATGTCTTCAAGTCCGTGTAATTATGCCTTGGGGAGAATCAACAGGTTAGGAGTTAGTTACGCTGCATTCACATCCCGATATGCCTTTTACTCAAGGCACAGCACTTCATTTAATTGCTCAACTCGATTTTTAAATCACTAGCACTTCATTATCAACCGCCGGTGATTGCTTTTGACAGCTTACGAAAATCTTTTTTGACTATATGGGTCACCAAATGACTTGAGAACATGATTCCTGATTGACTGGGGGGGGGAGGGGAGGTGTAGCAGAACATATCTAGATCCTAGGCACCAGTCGAGCGATATCTCATTATCTGTTGTTCTGTTGCCAAGCGGTTTGTTTAACCCAGTCTGATTTGAATTGATAGGTCTTTCTGCCGAAGCCTAGATCTTGAAAAGTTCAACGTGTTGAATGGCTGATTTTTCGGACGACGATTAAAGTTTGGGAAAAATCCTTTGCTTGTTCAACCCCCAATTTGATCACCAATCTGAACGGTTACAAAGTCCAGTTTTTGTCTGCATTGTTCCTCATAGTTTGGAGAAAGAGTGCGAGATGTCCATCTCAGGAATGGACCAATTTCCCTTTTTTTTCTAGTTACTGGTTTCAGACCAGCGGAGCTATATAACGTCTATGACTGTGATTGCAGTTGGTGTTGTTGGAGAACTTTTTGAAACATTTTTCTAGAGAGCGTCTAGTGTGATGGGGTTTCAACATTCTTGTTGTCATCTTTATAATTTCTGCATATGAGGTAGGATGTCTTTCTTGAGCAACAGAGAGAAACTGTGACGCAGAGTTCGTTTGAAGAATGGTTGTATCCTACTTTACCAAAAGGAAGCATGTGAATATCAATCTGGAGCTGACCAGAAAGGCTCTGTTTTATTTTTCAACCCTGCAGCAACTGACGAGCAGCCCACAATTCATCGCAGATGGAATCAGTCGCTTTGATGTGAAACAGGGTGAAATCGGTAAGTTCGCTTTGGCTCTGCTTTTCATTGCGCACTATAACCCAAAGTTATTTCGACAGTCGATCTTGGTGATTCCGCCCAAAATTATCAGACACACGAGTCTGCACAGGGATTCTACTGTTTGCAGTTAAACAATTCGCGTGAAGGCCTTGCAAGTGTACTGAACACCTGTGAGTTTTAGGGTAAAACAGCTGTCCAGGGCTCTTCGTTGACCTCAACACAAGGCTGGGTTGAAAAATCAAGTTATTCAAGTCAAGTCAAGTATTTACTTTATGCACCCCGAAAGGTGGATATTCAGCAGTCACACAGTCAACCAACAATTATCGAATAAAATATAACAGAATTATCGTAAGCCATGAAAAGAAAACAATTTACGAGATGACTGAGTTATGTTCCGAAGCGATGCGTTCTGGGCTAACAAGAAAACGGGCAAGGTAGGGCACCACAGAAGACCGATAGGCGGTCGTACGAGCAAATATACGATTATAGCGGGACTGGGTGGAAGAGGAGGACACAAATTTAATAAGATCTTGATGTAACGGATGTGAAGGGTTGTCTGTACTGCAAATGATGAAGTGACAGACAGTTTCACGGGGAATCCCGCCACTTCTTGATAAATGTGTTAATGATCTGGAAAGCAATTTAAAGTCCCTTTCGAGCATCCCTGGAAAGAACCCGTACAACCATCGGGGTAAAATACAGGCAAAAAGAAAACGTTTAATTAAGAAGCGAGGGACGGATTGTGTTTTCAGTCATAAGACATAAAATGATAGTTTCCTGACCTTTGTAAATACAGAAACAACTTGGTCAGACCACCATACGTTAAGGTTAATTAACACACCAAGATACTTGACATTTGGGGGTTGGACAATAGTATCATCGCATATGTTTAACGTAGGACAGGATTCCAGCAGATTAGCATAACGATTCCCTCTGTAAAGTCTACACATTTAGAAGGATTGAGAGTTAAGTTATTCTCAGTGGACCAATCAGAAAGGTTAGTACAGCCAAGTTGGAGGGTGGGGTGACAGATGCATCGGGGTAGGCGATTTCAACCATAACATCCTCCGAATTTTTAATGAGCAGGTAATTTTGAAAAGTAGGCATGGATGAAATATAAATGGAAAAAAACGGGGATAGAATAGTACCCTGTAATACACCTAGTGTAGAAATTAAGGAAGAGGAGGAACGACCAAGGTAACGTGTGATCTGTGATCGATTTATGAAATAGTTAGTGCGTACTGTGGTAATGGTTTGTGATATTCCGTTTGAAGACAAAATATTCAACAGCATAGACCTATCAAAACAATTGAAGGCGTAACTGTAATCCAAGAAAAGAATTCTGTCAGCTTTCTTGTTTCCATCAAGTGCTGACAGAATGTAGTGAACCAGAGAAGCTAGGGCATCTAGTGTAGAGAGACACCGACGGTACGCAACTTGGTTTTGGTCCAGCACATTCAGCTGGGATCAAATTCCTTGAAGGAGTAACTTCTCGAAAAGCTTCAACACAACAGATGTACATGCAATGGGACTGAATTCTGAGGTACCTCTTTCAGGCACTGGAGTGATGGAGGCAGCTTTCCAACAATCTGGTATAATTCCGTTTTCCAAGCACTGGTTAAACAGAGCTGTGAGCACTGGCGAAAGTGTGTGAGTGCACTTCCTAAGGATAACAGCTTCCAACTTATCAGGACCGGGTGATTTATTGAGTTTGAGTGTTAGCAACCCTTTCAGAACATCCTGTTGTCGAATAGAAAAGGGTTCTATATTGCTGGGGTCGATGTTTACGCTGGTGATGGCCCCGTCCCCGTTTTGTTGGTACTTTGTTGAATGTTCTATTTAGTTCCTCAACGTCTATTGCTGTTCGAGAAACGATTGAGGATTGACCACTCAGTTGCTTGATGATGTTCCAGGTTTCCCGGCAGGTTTTGTTGTGCAGGAGTGTACGAATGTAAATGCCGTGGAGCCGATGTAGCTCACCCTTGATAGCAAGAGATAAGAGTTTCACTCTTTGGAGATCTTTACTTTTGTATGTCCTTTCTTTGCTCCGACGCAACTGCTTCAGATGCGGAGACGAGATGCAGTGACACCGAAGGTATAGTGTCTCCCAGGAGCAGCATATATCGTAGCAGAAGTTTAGATACTGTGTAAAGTGATCACAGTAGATGGAAGGATTGGGGTTGTCGAACGCACTCAACTCCGTTTGAGAGACCATCATATTGAGCTTCTTTAGGTTTCATTGGTTACACTGATGTTTTCTTCTTTTTATGTCACGGCTTTTTGTGAACGATATGTGATTGACCTTGATGTACACTTTTGGGGAAACTTTAACACGGGCATGGTCCTAAGACCCAAAAGGACAGCAAGATGCGAAAAAATGCTGGTATTATTTACAAAACGCTTGTCTAAATGAGGATTTAGTCTTGTTGGGAAATTCACTGTTTGTCAAACCCAGAACAGACAAGATTGAAATCACCACAGACAATACATAGCGATAAATCAAGATAACTCAATAAAGCTATGGAATAGTATCTGAAAAATGAAGAAATTAATCTGAGGGACAAAAAGGAGAAATAAAAGTGTTATCTGAGACAATTGACCGATAGTTATTGAGGTGATTTGGCTTGCATTTATATACGGAGGCACATATGTGACCAGTGGAATGAGCAAATGTTTGCTTCACGTTCTTGCACCAAGTGTTGTTGATGTAAGTCACCAGGCCGCCTCTACACTTCTGATACGTTGCCGGACGGTTGACGCGGTATCCAGTGAAGCCATCCATTTTAGTAATCTGTTCATCAATTTCGCTATGTAACCGAGTCTCTTGTAATAGAATTGCTCCCAAGTTAGAATATTCCATACGGCGCACAAGATCGGATGTATCTGGTAATTTTCCAAGCAACAATCGGATGTTGTTGCTGATAATGATGGATATGCAGGGTTGTGACAAAGCTCTTTGACGCAGTGCTACTCTGCATCCACCTCGATGCTTCCTTCAATGCCCACGAGATTTTCTACGAATCCTTTTGAATTTATTTCTCACTGATTTTCCAAATTCAAGTATTTCAGGACACAAATTAGAGTTCTTGATGTTTATCATGAAGGCGTTATGAAAGTTCGCCACTGGCGTAATCTTAATTGCATTATGTATCCATGGAAACGACCCACAAAGCGAGTTGATGTATAAAAACAACGGGAATGTCAGTGACCATGTGACAATGATCGAACGGAAAAAAGCAGCGCGACCAAATTTGAAGGCTCCGCCGGATCGTTTCGTCACTCACTCACTCACTCACTAATTCACTTACTCAGTGGAATACTCATTCACTAACGCTGTCTCTCACATTCAGACATTTAATTGCACACTGATTTAGTATAATGGATAACTACTTACCAATTGTTTGTCTGGTGGGCTCGTCAGTTCACTGCAAGCATAATCTGAGATTGTTTTAATCATTTTTGAGCGAAAAATCACATTATAAAAGAAAAAAAACAGATGTGTTCACCCCAAAAGAATGATGATCATCGACTCTCATCCCTAGAGGTCCCCACTCCTGGTGAGATGATGATGATTCCAACCTACTCATATCAGATTTAAAAACGAAATTCTTTCGAAAAAATGAGAATTTGGTATATGTTCGGTTTTCTGTTTTCACAGATGATCTGCTGATCATCCCATGATCAAACGTATATGTCTTCTGTCTGTAACTGAAAATGAATTTGTTAAAGGGCGAAGGTTACGAATAAAAATTTACTTAGTCCGAAACAACAGTTATCGAAATATTTTACCTTGTAACAAAATAATATTTTGTCGTTTTGAGTTTTTCCTAACCTCGATAGATTCGTACTAATGAGATGCACACAGGGGTAATGGACTGATTCGGACCATTTGTGGTTTGCTAGCTTGCTTGTCTGAGTCGGACTTGGTTGTCGAGAGTGGCCCGGAACCCGTGGAGAGTGGCAACCTGACTTTGCCTCCAATGTGTTGACGCGGATTTATAAGTCTGAATTTCTTCCATCGATAACGGCCACCACCTTGTTTCTGCATGTTGTCGCTCACAAGGTGAATAATCGATCTGGTTGACCTGAAAACTAGGTATCATAATAAAACTCCTGCGTTTCTAAGCTCATTGTGGTCCTGAATAAAAAAACAACAAATACTCTATTGCATTTTGAGTAACTTTTGCGAGCACTGAGGATTACACAGCCAAGTTAAAAAAACAGGCATGCCAAACTTCACACGGAACTAATTTAACGGGGAAAAGGTTTTAGAGGCTGCAAATGGACATTTCATAGTCCAGTTTTAATAAGAAGTTCACTTGTTTAGTCCTCTCTTTGTTTGTGAATAAACGTGCAAGACAGGGTATATGTGAATTTCGGTAGACGTTCATACGAGATGCCGTTTTTATGGAATCCAGAGCGTGTGGAAGGATGAGAACGACAGTCTTTCAGTTCTGTGTGCAATGGGTGGTTAGGGTCTGTGGGAATCCTGTCCACAAGGTTGACACAGGAAGTTGCATGATAATCTGGAAGTTTCACAATTGACTAGTTCACAAACATAAAAGAAACGCGGCTAAAAAGTAGTTAGACCACGGCGCAAGACTGAAAGCAAGCTAGGGAGAATACCTGGAGAACAATAAAGTTAGAGGGGAAAATACACCGATAAATATCACGAAATCATCATGCTTAAGAAAAAAACATTCTGTCATTAAAACATCCGACAGTAATTTGATTTAATTGGTAGTTAAGTGTCAGTAATCTTTTATGTTTCAGCTACGGGGTGGAGGCAATTTAAAGCCATCCAATCAGAATGGGATCACCCGAATTTCTCGTAAAGGGTAGAGAAAAATGGCCCCGATTTCGTGTTGATTTTTGCGAATGAAACAAACACCGGCAATTCATATGCAAAATCATCATCGGATTTCTTCAAAAAGTTTATTTTACGTTGTACAGAATGTATTGTTCATAGCCTAAAAGTTAACGGTCTGGTTAACACAGTTGGAAAGTTGACGGCATGATTTTTAATTTGACCAAACCTTTGTGCATCTCTCCTGCTCAATCTCTGGCTCTTTAGGATTTCATTAGACTGTTACATTATCATTATTAGTGCATTCTTCACGTGCTGCTCTCTACCCTCCACTTCCAGGTGACTGCTGGTTTCTCGCGGCTGTGGCGTGCCTGTCCGTTCATCGAGAACTATTGGAAAATGTAAGCAGAGAGCAGAGCTACGTGGTTTCAATTCCGTCCTCATTGGCTTTTTTCGGTGCATGCTTTTCACTGGTCGTGACCGGCAACTGAAGCCTCTGGCTTTAGACTGGTGAACTCCACAAAGCACCACCAGGTTAGGTGTGGTATTCGAGTTAGAAATTGTAATCCTGATCCTTTTTGCTCGCAGGACATATCACCGTGAAAGAGCCATGAACACAAAGTGCAAAGTCAATGTGAGAAACGCAGTGGGGTACAACGACCGGTAGGCTTTAGGTTGATCAATCTGTCAACAACGTGTAAACTGCATCAAGTCTATTTTGACAGATTCGGTCAAATGTACACCTTTTCCCATCACGCTTTAGCCAAAACCCGCAGTCTTTTAGCCTCGGCCGGCAACCCTTTGGCCAAAACCCGCAATGCTTTAGCCACAACCCCTTAGTCCTTTTGCCTAAACGCTGCAGGCGAATCAGATCAAAAAGTATCGGAATAATCTGAGGTCCACCAATGCCGAAAAATTTTATTGTTTACAAATGTTGATGTTGAAAACCTGGGTTAAGAAATCAAAAGGTGTAGCGGTCGCACGCTGCACCACATGTCGATTGGAGAAGGTTTAGACGATGAGCCCGTATCGTCAAACCATTTGACACGTCTCGCGCAGCTTCAGTGTTTTCGTATAACATGCGATACTCCTGTGAGTAAAAATTACCCACTACCAGATCACTTAATAATACACAGTCCGTCCACTGTCACACGTCCATTTAAGGTTATCCCATCCGGTCAATCGTTCGATCAGCGAGTGAGCGGTGATACGTTTCCCTATTGCGGGATGTTCTGGTTTCGGCTGTGGCGTTTCGGGGACTGGATCGATGTCGTTGTTGATGATCGGTTACCTTCCCGAAACCGACATCTGGTGTTCATGCACTCATCCGATCGTCGAGAGTTCTGGTCTGCATTACTGGAGAAAGCCTACGTGAAGTAAGTTTCTCTTGACGCTAAATCTGCTTGTGTTGGTTATTTCGGCTTGAAACGGTGCAATGAGTAGTCCCTGTTTGCTTTACGTGCTTACGCGGATATGGGTATTTTTCTGTATACGACCTTGGGGTGTGTATGTGAGGAAAGCTTAGGTATGGGAGATGATGGGGGATGTGAAATTTGTCCAGTTCAGTCAATTTCAAGTTGTGCGCACAGTAATGTTGCCTTTGAAATTGCCTCTTCCAAGCTTTATCCTGGGTTTTAAGTTTCTGTTTTGTGCCCTGCAAAACAGTTTTAGGATAACCTGGAGGAAATATAGCAGAGTGTTAGAATGGCGGAAAGGGGAAAAGATAAATACCCGCAGATCGCTTATTCGGGATCACGGAAGGACGGTTGCCATGTTCTGCCTAACCGTTTTGATGATTTGGCTCCCGCAATTCATTTTTCAATCTAATTTGTGTTGAGGGGCGTTTAGCAAACACATTAGAATGTCAGCGGAGTCACCAGGTCGGCAGGAAAATTTCTTCAGGTTTTTCAACATTTTGATGAGGCCCTTGAACAAACTGGAATTCATTCATTGATCCAGAATTACTAAAGCCACGTTAATTTCGAGTTATAAAGTTTGTTATTTAATCGTTTTCTTCGAGCAAAGTTATTTTCTGGATAATCTGTCTGTCTTTCTTTATCTCTTTTAATTCATTTTCAGAAAATCATCCACACTCACCTTTTTGATAACGAAGGTGTCTCATCAATCGTGAAAAGCTTATCTAAATGACAAGGCAGATTGCGAACTATTCACAAATCTTTGTTTTAATCTTAGTGATCTTGAAACTTGAGCTTCATGGAGTAAAAAATTTGAACGTGGGTACTTGAAACCGTGAGTTATTGAAAATAAAAAATCTAAGCTTTGGCAAACCCAGGAAAGAGCAGTTGTAGATCCATTCTTCAACAATAGCAGAGGTAACTGGCCCCCCCCCTAGAAAAAACGCAACCAATATTAGTCAATTGGGATGAGGTCACTTGTGATCAATCATGATGTAGCAGGTCCAGATGTTTTGAGTGTGGTGACAAGGATTCAGGGCATGGGGAGAAGAGAGTATGCCACTGTAAGACACATTTTGCACACGCAACCTCGTTCAACTTACGGAATAATGCCTCGATTGTATAGGTAACTTGATTTAAAACGATTAACATATTTGAAACAGGCGCGATTTTCGTTTGGACGACTACATGCACAGTAGGCTGGGTTGAGAGAAAGGGTGATTTTTAGTTTAAGAATTGCGAATTTGCCTACTGATTATTTTTAATTAATAATTTGAGACCTATTTACAGTGTACACATACAAAATGTGTGCCACAGTGTCTGAAGATACCCACTCATTTGTTTTTACTGTTGCCGTCGAATAATGAAACCGATCAATGCATTCTTTATGACCAGCATTGATTGGCATTGGTCCCGCCGTTGTTAGTCATGATTTTAGTCACTGGTTAAGCTCAGCATGTGATTCAAGAATTCAAAGTGTATGGCTCAAACACACTGCAGAGCCAGGCCGTAACTGTTACGATGAACTTTTGCCAGTAACCTGTCCATCTTCGTCAGTGCTCTAGCAAGCGCAAGTTCGCACAGACGCGCCCGTGCCAGGCGGTCATTAATCGATTAGAGATGTAACGTCTTCCTTCGCATATTCACTTGCAAGCTAGGTCAACTACGGTTATCGTTCACCCAATGGCGCAGCTACATTTATGAGACGCGATGGGATTGTGCCCCTAGCAGCGAGACTAATCTTTCGCATACACGGTAATGGCTTTGGTGACCACTTCATAAAACTTATCACAAACACTGGATAATGCCGATCTTCCCCTAATTAACCATCCCGGTTTGTGCTCCGCCACGCATTGAGACAAATGCCTACCATGTAACCTAAGTACTATGCGCCGTAGATCCTCACCGACTCTGTTTAACAATGTGGTCATGAGAATATTCAACCTCTCAAGTCAAAATCCTTCAGAAAAATCTATAAATTTTACAATTCTTTAAGTGACTTGATCCCTATGAGTAGAAGGAATGCACACCACAAAACTGCGAAATTTCATGTATTCTCATGAGCCTTCACGTGGCCCTACTTCACAATCCTATTGCAAATTACTAAAAATTGCTTGATATTTGATTTCTGTTGAAAACAATCTGCTTCAAAATCATGCAGAATTATTGGTTCTTACGACCTAATGCGTGGCGGTTGCACTGCCGAGGCGATGGAAGATTTAACCGGTGGTCTGACGGAACTTGTGGATCTGGGTTCGAAAACACCGCCACAGTTATTCCAGAACATGGTTCGTTCGCATGCACGTTCCAGTCTGATGGCCTGTTCGATCGATTCCAATGAGATTGAAGGTGAAGGCCCAATGGGGCTGATCACTGGTCACGCCTATTCCGTTACAAACGTGTGCACGGTAAGTGAGCTTTGGTGAGGAACTGTCTACTCTGATTCGTGTCATCAGAACCACTACTTGATCGGCATATGGGTTTTGTTCCCCTTTTGGCCTGAAAGGTGGTTTATAAATTACTCAGTCCACAAACAGGCAGGCATATGAAACCGCGTTGAATCAAACTTGAGGCGGTTGGGGCTCTTATGTACGACAAGTGAGCTAAGTTAAATTTCCCAAAAGAATTTTATGATGACGGCGCGGTGAGGATCTCCTACTTATCACTTTGGAGTTTGTTTGTTCGAGCCCTACTTTTCCATTGTCCAAACAACACAAGCCAAGGAATTGCCTTAATTGGCCCCATGGAGGATAATTATTTAAGTTTCGCATAATCGCCAAGTGAATAACTGCTACTTTTTTCTTCAGAATTCCAGGTTCAGTCCCACAATGAATAAAAACAAGTTAAAGAAGTAAAATGAAAGCAAAATTAACATTTTCTCATCTCCAAACCAACCGCAATTCTACAGAACCACATTTTATTATTCAAGTCAATGTCTAACAGTTCACATTTTATGCTCGTTCCATTGTGCTTTAGCAAACCTTGAATAAGCTAGTGTGAATGGTTACTTTTTTCTAGGGTCTGGTGCTCAAAATGTGGTCGTCTGGTAAATCGTAGTTAATGCTTCCAGAGCTGAACAGTTCAGAAAGGGGACCTTTGCTGTACAATAGGGAATTAATTCGCAAAATCACCTAACAGGGAATTTCATTTGGCTGCACTTCAACAACCAGAAAAAAATGTGCCAGCCAAATGATTAACCGAGTCCCTCTTCCTGATAACTGCATCATTTTATATTCAAAAAAGTCAAGTTTTGGATTAAAAATGAAAATGAATAATACGTTTTGCAGCTGTGCAGCTGTGTTATCGCATGTCGAGCACCGTCTATTTAAATTTTTTCACGCCTGCATAGTAACACACTAGTATTATAACAGTCAGTAGACTTCGCATCGTAGATACTGGCTTTTCCTACAACATTCTGGAGATATTCTTCAACGCTTCGTCGGCTTCGTCGATCGCTTAAAAGGCTTTATTCGCCACCAATTAACCGGGTATCGAATCAGATTACTCACTAGTAGTATATTTGTGAATTTGGAGATGTTTTATACAACCTGAACCAGCCCTTCATCAGCAGGCTGATTATACAGTTTACTAAATGTATAACAAATTCTACAAAATTGTTCCTGAGCAAAATTATAACAAAAAACGCCATGCCAGGCAAAAAAAGGTTCTTGGAAAAATCTAATAAACTTTTCTTTTCGAAGTTCAAGATCTTTTTTGATGATAACATTAAGATTGTCTTTAGGCATCGTGGGCATTAGCGCCACACGATAATAGTCATTCAAGATACATTGATTAGCAGCTTCTACAAACTTCCAACGATAGACTGGAAGCACCAGAGTTTGGATACAACCTTCAGTGAATCGAGGACGAAATATCGGCAAAGAAATGAATTTTGAAGCACCAAGTTCATTTCTTACCTTTAAGGAGGTGTTTCCATCGATTGTAAATGTACCAACTTGTGGGGAATTGAGAATCTCCCAAGGAGTAAAACCCACACCCATGACAATCAAGAATGCCTGGTGCTTCTTAAACAATCGAATTGGCCAGTCCAAAATTGCTACTTTAAAATTGATTGGGCCATTCGCACAAGGTGATGATCGTAGACCGTGTATCTCAGGGGTAGGGGTTTAAAATCCCGACTCCAATGTTCGCGGTTCGAGTCCTGGCAGGGACACAAGATGTACGCACTGCTGACGAGTCCCAAATAGGACGAAACAGCTGTCCAGTGCTCTTTGTAGGTTATGAAAAACATTTCCATCGCATGTAAATGCATGAACTGATGGAGAATTAACGATCTCCCAAGAAGTGAAGCACACGCCCAAGAGCATCAAGAGTGCATAGTGCCTCTCAAGCGATCGAATGAGTTAATCCCAGCTTGCTATTCTAGAAAAGCGCTCCTTATTTGTTTCACATCAGTTGACGTTTTTCTCAACCCCGTAATGCGTAGTTCTGGGTGTGAGTTGCTTTGTGATCACCGGCAAATTACTCACACATGCTCCTTTTTCGTGTACCACCGCATTTATCGGCGTTATCTAGATGAGAACGAATCAAGGTCCCCTTGAAATGGTACGGCTACGGAATCCTTGGGGGAATGATAAAGAGTGGTGCGGACCGTGGAGTGATCAATCGTCGGAATGGAAAAGTATTCATCCCCAAGAAAGACAACGGCTGGGATTGACCTTCGATAATGATGGCGAATTTTGGTATGTACATCAAATAAAGAGCCTCTTCATTATATGGTTGTCATTATCTTCACTACCTCCGTGTTTAATCGCACCATTTACCAGGGAATTAACTAAATGTGGATATTTCTGTCATGAAGCACGTTCAAGGGTAGGTCTAGGAACGCATCAGGGATTATTAAAACATACGTTTTATAATTTCATGGGGAATAATGGATATTAGAATGCATGTCAGATTGTTCTGTCCGGTCGTTTTGCAACGCCTCAAAGTTTCACGCCGGAGTTCTATTATACAGAAATAACTTCTGATTAGTTCCATTATTGTCTTTTAATTTGTGGGCATCAGCTTGACGGTTTTCGTCGTTATAGATATCGCATAAATCTGCCAAACGTCTCTTTGTACACGTACCAGAGACACTACTAACAAATATGAGTAGTTTCTGACAACGTTACACCTCACAGGAAAACCTCCCATTAGAAGAATTATGTAGTTTCCAAACAAATAAAGCCTCGCAGAAGTTTACCACCATCGTTAAACATTAGCTTGCACTTTCAACAAACTGCTGGTCAATTCAACACCTGACGGTTTTGTAGAGACGGTTTTTCAAACGGAACACAAATGAATTTTCAGGTTGAATATTTGAATTTCGAAAGCTCTCCAGAATCCATCTATGTCACTTGGATAAGGGTGAATTTTGGTTTGCCTGTCAAAATATCGCAGTGCATTTTTGCAACAACGCACTGTGGGTATCATACACAATAAAGCACAAATACGTACCTGATGTGAGTTGTGCAGATTTCCAAAAAAATCTGCTTGTGACCGCGGACGGTTAACAGTTGGTCATTTGCGAACACAAAATAATCCCGCGTCAATGCAGAAAAAGAATAAAAGCAATGATACATCAAGATTATTTGCCTACGTAGATGTTTTCTTTCTTAATACGGAATAGAAAGTTTCTAATTTGCCGAAAGTGTATAGATAACGGATGATACATTTGGTAAAGGTGATAAGTTCCACACATGACTTTCGTTCATCAATCGATTACTCAAGGATCATTTGAAAAGTGGGCCACCAGCTGTGATCGCATGACGTAATCAGTACTAGTATTGATACCTCCGACAAAATAAAAATCATACTAGAATTGTATCAATCAGCTCACAAGCCTGATAATTTGGGTAACTGTCACCGCAAGTGATATCAGAACGAACTTCAATCATGAATCACAATTAGCTTCCGTGTCATCTGAGGTCGGATATTGCAATAAGGTACGTGTTCTCATGAATGAAAATCTTTTATCTCTTGTTTCGTTGTCGAACTAAAGAAGAGAACTACTTAAGGTATTACTGCATGTATTATAAGGTTAGAGTAACCGCTAAGCATTCGCAAGTAGTTATAATCATAATGTGAGTAAGAAAACTCTTCACTTCCGCTTATTGAACAGCTCAATGAAAAATGCCTTTTCATGAAATGGAGTCCAACTAAGCAAAGGATCCTATGTGCTATATGTAAAAGAACTGCATTTTTGGATAACTGTTTGAAACCAATCGTCAGTTGTATGGAATATGTGATCTCCCAAGTAGTTTCGTTCTGATCCTTTATATACATTTCGGGTGCATCTTGTTGAAGTCAAGAATGAGCCATTATAAGATCATTTCGTCTAGGAATACTGCAGTGTACAGACAAATAGAATTGTCAATTTTTTACTATTTTTAAACCACTCAACAATATGCACTCCACTAGTAGCATGCAGTGTATGACAATCTCCCAAGGACTGGGACCAGCACCCAAGATCATCAACAGTGCTTGATGCTTATGAAAAACCGAATGCGTTAATCCGAAAAATCACTGTCTAAATTGATTGTATTGGTTTGAGAATGAACGCACCAAAAATATATGCTCGCCTACGAGTTGTATTCTGACATGTAGGACAGTTCTGACAATGAAATTGTTGGTTGATAACCGGAGCGAATCAACAATCGCAACATCCGACTCAAATCCATCAGCGAATTGAAACACCTAAACGTGCTGGTAACTCTATATGTCAAGATTCCTCGCCACCGGGACGCAGGTTGAGGGCCAGAGAAGTAAAGGTTAAGTTGTTGAAATAAATTAATACGAATAAAAGAAATGTACATAGGAATATCAATAGCTGAAGCGATATTGTTCATGTTCTTGTGGACACACGACTTGTGTTCCAATCGGTTCATTGTCTACTCATCGACCGATCCGAAGGTGTAGCTCTTTGACTGGAGTTGTTACTATGTGCTAAATCTCCAGGAGATCGTATATTCTGTGCACACCTTCGCAAATCGTTTTTGAGTGTTTTGACAAGAATTTATATTTGCTTTAATTTGATGCATAATTAAAGTCTGCTATATTAAGTAATGTTAATAAACAGAAATGAAATTAGAAACATCTTTCCTTCGAACTTTCGGCCTCAAAAAGCCCAAACAGCCACCGCGATGTGGTACGGTACGTCGATTTAACCACTGAAGGGATTGGACGAAGAGGTAGACTAGATCTGCACTTTTTTGAAGACAGAAAACAATTGGTATCTTCCAACCACGAAAGTGAATGGGTGCAGGCTGAGGTGAATGTTGAACGATAACGTTGGAAGTACATGAATAGAATTTTCATCACAATTCTTTTACGTGAAGCGTACAAGTAATTCACTTAGTCGAACATAATAAATGGGTATTACTTGCTGCGTTGGTGCTTCTCTCAATTCTGCTGTCGTTCTTATCATTTGTATGATGAAAATCCGGTTCTGATGTCTGGAAGAACGAATTGAATATGCCTATCTCATATCTGGAGTTCCTCATAAGTTGTTACTTCCTCCAATTTCAGGATGTCCTTTGCGGATTTTTCACGGTATTTTTCACGCCTGGAATTCTGTCATCTTGGTCCAGAGAATACTAACTTTGAAAAATCGGTGTATGTCTCACGACACAAACGGCGATGGGAGATGACCAAAGAGGAGGGAGAATGGGTCCGGTATGCGACAGCTGGGGGTTGTCGAAATTACGGAGGTTAGTTGACGGACACGTATATGTAGGTGTTTTTAGAATAAGGATGACAACACACCACTGTTAGAATACATTGATCAATTTTGAACACAATAAGACAATGATTTGTATCCGTATGGAACTCTGAAAAATAATTATCTCGCACTGGATTTATAGAAATTCGTAGATACTACTTCACGTGTAGACTGGAAAAGTCGTTGTGGAGAATGTCTTTTTATTTTCCAGAACTTCCAAATTAGGATGTGCTGAATTAGCTAGGCATTGTTAAAGTTCTGATAACTGTTTATCGTGAGACGAGAAAGTTTAAAAGAAAAGGCCCATAGGTTATTGATATCAATTTCTCCATCTTGAGACTTGGGAACCGGGTCAAATCCAGTTGTATTGTTTGTTTTTAATCCCATCTGCGAAAACCAGTTCCGGAAAATTATTTACTTTGCAGTATAACAGATAACGACAAGTTTTAATTGATATTTGCGAGCTTTTAGTAAAAGTGCACTTCCTTGGTATCTTTTCACTGGTAAACCGAAGAAAGAGTGGACAGTTTAAATCTCAAAATTAACCACTTCTCATCCAGCAGTCTTGATGTCAATGTGATTAAGAATGTTTCCGTGTACAAAAGAGGATAACTAATTACTTTATATATCTTTGTCAGATTTAAAGCGATAAAATCCGAACATCCTAAGTTTACAAATCA